TGTACAGTTTAAAAAATATGTTGCACATCAGTCTTTACAATGAATTTGCTCTGTCACATGCCATTAATTATCCTACCAGTAGATGCAACTACCGTTAGCCACATTGTTAAAGGAAAACTCCGGTCACGATAAAACCGTAGTAAAAATTAAGTTGTAATGGTTCAAGATGGTTCATGGCTCTTCCTTTTCTGCAGAGGTAAAACCATTCACGAACAGTTTACTCTAGAGATGGCCCATTGATATCCGTTGTCTGAAATGCTAGAAAAAGCATGGGCTCTTGCCGGGCAGGGGTGCTGCCAATTGGCTTAGAGAGGTCAGCTGACTTTAAGATAATCAAAAGCTCCCCATTCATTAAAGAGGTACATGCTAGATGTCAATAGGGACAGCGAGGGACAGTGCTGGAGAGCCAATTTTGGTGTTAAACTATTTGTAAATATTCAAACCCTTATCTTATGGATATGAAGTGCCATGTACATTCTAGCACCATAAAAGATTGTACATTCTAAAGCACCAAACAACTTTAGCTGTATGAAGCAGTTTTGGTGCATAGAACAGTCTCAGTGTTCATTTCTCTGCCATTTAGGATTTAAATCACTGTTGTTCCTGTTTATTCAGCCCAGGCAGCACTTTATCTGACTGTGACTCACACAACCGTTATGAACTAAAAAATGTATTTATTTTCAATCTGATCTTACAGCACAATGTGTTTGCTTCAGAATATATATTTTCCTGTTCTGATAAACTTTAATGTATCTTTTATATGCATTTACATTGATAGAAAATGGTTATTTATCTGGCTATTTAACATCACCCTCAGCAGTAAATGGCAGTTGGATACAGCATCCTCTGAAACACAATGTTTTATGTCCCACAGATGGATAACATTTACAATCTAAAATCATCAAAGAAGAAACAAAATGTGGTGTAGCGGATGGTACTATGGCTGTCCTAAAAGACTGTGTTAAAACTGCAATTCGTGTGTTGTTTCTGCTGTATAGTTAATTGTAAGTAGAATTCGTATGATTGTTCGGTAGTTTCCATCTGTATTTCATATGAATGGAAACTACTGAACTAATAGACCACCCCAGAGTGAAGTGTGTCCCTTGTTAAGCTGCAAATTGCTCACTAACCGCAGACTAATAGGTGTTTTATGTATGTAACTGGGTGGCCGCCATTCGGCATGCGAACCATCTTACGCACGAAAGACTCAGCGGTGTTTGATCATCGAGTGTCTGGAACTCAAATCGGACACTTGATTACCAGAACACCGCTGACACCTCCAGAGTTTGGTAACTCCCGAACGGGAAGGCGAATCAGCCCCCCCGTTCGGTAAGTTTAAAGTACCGAATGAGGGGAATCATGCGAACGTAAATGTATTAGTGGATGGCAGTTTTTTATGTGTCTTTCAACTCCCGAACGGAGACTGACCGCAGGGCCAAAATGCATGGAACCCTTTTCGGATACCACCTCGTGTGCGGTCGGTCAAATTACACTCTCCACCTAACTCCCGAACCCCTGGTCTGATCTGGGTGAATTTTGTATATTTCTTGGATTACCTTGCTGGCTGGAATTATTGCTTTATGGGATTCTTCATCACTTGTTCCAGAGCCTCACTGGGATCTTAGTGGAGTTAACCTGTGGAATATCAGGCCTCCGCTACATGTGGATTTTCTAAAATAAATACACTACATCTATGAGTGGATCCCTGTGGTATAGCACAGAAAGCCATCAATACAATCACGTAAAAAATAATAATTCAATCCTATCTTCCATATTTTTACATATTTGTACCCCATAGCACATCATATGGAGGCACATTTCCTTGGCACCTTTGCTTAGGGTGAGACTTGACCTTCAAGAAGGTGTTTAGTGGGACTGAGCATGTACCAATGATTACACGGACTCGTGAAATGTCTCTGCATATTCTTTGACCCCCTGTATGGCTTGTCACTTGAACTTAGTAAAGATATTTGTGCTTTCCTAAGGCTGAAGTATGGTTTATTTATTAGTTAAACATAAGAACAGTCCAGGTTCAGCTTTCAACTTCTTCCTATGGTGGCACCCGCAAACAATGTGACCATAATACCGAAAGAATGTCAGAATGACATGCCTTGTGGTGGGAGGGATTCTTACAGTTCTCCTATGGCTTAAATAAAATGTGTTTATGAAATTGATCCTATATTTTTGAATACATTTGCATATGTTGCTATCTATATTTGTCTATGGAGTTCATACATGTGTGGAAAGAAGTAAAATAACAACAAAATAATATAGCGGGTGAGAGAAGGAAAACTAGTCTTACAAATTACTTTGCCCTGGAGGCCTAAGTTCAAATTGAGGCATTTATTTTCTTTTTTAAATGAGTCTTCTGCTAGGAAATGAATCCCAATACGGCCAACTTAATGTATTTCTATAGATTTTTTTAATATTACAATTTTGTTATTTCTATTTCAGTGGGAGAGAAATGTATAAAAGGGTTCAATGTGCGGTGACCTTTCATAAGAGCTTGGTTAGCAATTAGCTCGTGGCAACTTTCCGAAATAAGCTAATTGTGTGACCATCTATTTTCTTCCACTCCTGGGGGCCTTGACCTTTACCTTATTGAAGACACTCATGTATGTTATATTAAAATTGGTGAACAAGGTGTAATGCAAGAATGCCACCACTTTTTTTCAAATATTTTTGACATTTAAAAAGTCTAAACTATAATATGGCTTATTTAATGACAAATTAAAAAAGTATAATCTTAAAATTATATGAATCATTATCTTGACAGTAAAATATTGCAGCTTAAAAAGTAACACAATGTCATTATATTTTTAATAGCAGGCATCTATACCTTGTCCCCACCCATGGACTTCTGGTGGGGTTATTCATTTCAAAAGGGGGTTGGTCATGCCATTCTGATTGCGGTATTAATACCAAAAAGGAGGTGGACAATAACATGACCACCCGCTTTTGTTATTAAAATATCGTGCCCCCTTCCACCCCTTCTACCTCTCTCTGGTTAATAGGGGTTTCTAATCCAAACTAAAAAAAAAATCCCTACTTCACTCTGAGGGGGATAAATGTAACTCTTGTGTAAAAAACACAGAAGCCTTCTTCTCAAATCTTATTTTCTTCAACCACAAAAGGCTAATAAATAAACAAATAAACCAACAAACAAACAAACAAAAAAGACAAGCAAACATAATAAACCAATGTTGAAAGCTGCTTCATAAATTCAGTGGTATACGTAGTTTGTGTTGTGATTGGGTCCATTATTACAACATCCTGGCTGGTGATTTTATGGAAGGAATTTGTGGATAGTGAGTGGTCTTTGTATTAGTGAAGGAAAGCATGGTCAGGGAGTGGTTTCTGCAACATTAAAACAGACAGTAACAATTCTGCTCCATAACAGTATAGTGAATCTCTAACTGTTTTTCCAGTATCCCAGTATTATCATAGCACAGCAGGACTATTTGCAAACAATCTGTTGCGCTTTACTCCATGTTACTCTGTTTGCAAGGTTGGTAAGTTGCCAACTATCTTGAATTCTTTGCATACGTTGTAATAATCCTTTTTAAGAAATAGGAATAAAGAGAAATTACAGTTTCAGTTATTTATATACAAAAAAACCCATAAATGTCTTTTAAATTAGAAAACCACTTCATTGCCCCCAAAACAGTTTAACTATCAGTGAAAATGGTTCATTCTGATACCTTTCTTAGTCATAGTCAGGGCCGGACTGGGGATACAAAGCAGCCTTGGAAAAAAAATATATGCCAGCCCCATAAGTCAATGCACCATATATTGTCGCATGTAATATGTAAGGCTATGTCTTGCCACCCCAGATGATTGAGTAATATATTTTGCTTTTTCTAATATAAAATATTGGTCCTTTCATAGTAAAACGTTTAATTATACAGTAAGCATACTCACATGCAAACACAGACAACCTCACTGACACACACAAGTTCGTTGATACACAGCCTCATAGACAAACAATCTCACTGATATACATAAGCTCATTGACATAAAAACACAAGCTCACTCACTAGCAGACACACACATACATGCAAGCAAGCAAGCTCACTAGCAGGTGCGCACACACACACACACAGCTTAATGTAGTGGTTCTGGTGTCTATAGCCTGTCCCTGCAGGCTTTTCAATGTAAACACTGCCTTTTCAGAGAAAAGGCAGTGTTTACATTGCTTCAGAGTGACACCTCTAGTGACAGTCACTCAGACGGTCACTAGAGGTGCTTCCTGTGTCAGGGCCTCCACGCTCTGGAGATGCTGAAGGTTCCCCATAGAGATACATTGAGTCAATGCATCTCTATATGAGGATTGGTGTAGTGTTTTGCAGCCAATCCTATGGCAAGCTTGAGGATCTCAGCCATAGAGGCAGGGCCAGTCGAGGAGAGACCAGCATGGCGTGAAAAAAAAAAAAAGGTGAGTAAAAACACACACCATGACAGACACACACACACACCATGAGACACACAAACACACACCATGACAGACACACACACACACCATGACAGACACACGCACACCATGACAGACACACGCATACCATGACAAACACATGCATACCATGACAGACACACGCATACCACGACAGACACACGCATACCACGACAGACAGTCCATGACACAGACAGACACACACACACACCATGACACAGACAGACCATACCAAAACACACACATCATGACACACCGACACACACACCATGACACACCGACACACCATGACACAGACACACATATCATGACGCAGACACACATATCATGACACACACACACCATGACAGAGACAGACACATACCATGACACACACACACACACACACACACCATGACAGAGACACACACACCATTACACACACACCATGACACACAGACACACACACACACACACACACACACACTGACAGCATAACACATATTACCTGTGGGCCAGGGGGGTCATGCAGGGCAGAGAGCAGGGATGGCGGCCGCTGGAGGAGCAGGGATGGCGGCCGCTGAAGGAGCAGGGATGGCGGCCGCTGGAGGAGCTGTTCTGGTTGCCGCTGGAGGAGCTGTGCTGTCTCTGCTCCCCCGCCGTCGCGCGCTACTGAATGAGACCGCCCCATTCAGTAGCGCGCGAGGGCGGGGGAGCAGAGACAGCACAGCTCCTCCAGCGGCCGCCATCCCTGCTCCTCCAGCGGCCACCATCCCTGCTCCTCCAGCGGCCGCCAGCAGACCCAGGTGTCTGCCCGGCCCCAGGTGCCGACGGCCCACCGGTAGTCCGGCCCTGGTCATAGTTCTCTAGTTTTACTAGAAGTTAGGTGATTTAAAAGTTCAGAAATAAAGAGTGTGCTACTATATATATATATATATATATATATATATATATATATATATATAAGCTAGCCAGTAACCAACCTCATGCTGACGATTTGCATTAACAATGAAACAGCTGTCCATGAGTGGTTCACTGGCTTTGCATCTTTTGCTAAGTTGTGTTTCAAAGCTGTTGTATACAGCAAACACAGACTCAAAGGAATACAGTTTTAAAATGGAAAAATTAGATTTTTTGTTGAACTAATTTGCATATACCCACCCAGAATCCTTTGCATTAGTAACATCACTGCAAATTTGTGATTTTGGTGGGAAAAGCAAGTTTTATGGCTTGACTGGTGTGCAGATATGCGTTTAACAATGTATAACATTATATGTAACAATTTTACACACCAAACTTTACACACATTTTAAAATGAATATTCATGTAACAAACCTACTTGTATAGTAGACAAGGATTTACTACAGATATGGCTGTTTAGTAAATTGTGACACTAGCCAACCATCCTTGGTCTATGATTTTTTTCAACAAGGATTACGTTGGATCACGTTTCCCCCGAAACCCACTCAGTAATATCTACCCTGTCAGTTAATTGTCAATAATGGGATAGGGAAATTACACTGGAAGATACCATTTAAGGGTTGAATATTAATATATATTAATATACAACTCCATTAAAAAAAAAATCCCAAAGAGAGTTTTAAAACAAGTTTTACTCACCTTAATCCAGTGCTGAGTGAAGTCCCTGCAGCTGCTCTGTGCACCCCCTGTCTGATGTTATGGGAGCTTCTCATAGAGAATCCTTTGACTGGTGGATTTAATGAGCACAGAGAACTGTGAGCCTACAAGGGGATGGGAAAAGAGGAGGAGGCAGGGCAGAGTGGGAACTAAATATGGTGGAGGGGATAGGGAGTAGCGGAGGGCTACAGTACTCTCAGGGCCAGATGAAGAGCCCAGTTGGCCTGGTGCTTATGATAGTCCTAATTACAGAATCTTATCAACCAAAAGCACTAAAACAGTCATACCTCCCAAGTGTCATGTATCTGGCGGAAGTGGTGCTAAAGGGAAACTCATAGGATACAGCTATGAGAAAACACATACTTTATGCTAATCTCTCTTTAATTTTTGCTTTCATCTTTCAAGTAAATCCATACCTCCTAACAGCAGTGTCCAGTGAAGCAGAAAGTCAATGGGTGGTGTATAAGGGTGGGCCACTGACGCAAATCATGTAATCAGAACTGCCGAAAGAGGCAAACATGCCTTAAAAAGGGGGCATGTCTGCCTAAAGAATTGGAAGGCCAGCCTGACATGCAGGCTAGCCAACTAAGGACATACTATGCAGACAGCACCCTGAGCTTGGCATAAATGCAGCTAATGATGTGTTTGCTCCACACTTTCTAAGGACTGTCCCTTAGCACTCACATGTCCACTTGTCTACTTACCTTCTTACTAGCAGGCTCCTGGTATATAGTCTTGGACAGAGAAACGCTGTATGTAGTGAGTGTAGAAGAAAGAGAACATGCCACAGGGTTAGGGAGACCAAAGTCAGCATTACCTTAACTAATTTCATTGTTAGCCAGTCCACACAAGTTTTGTTCCCATACATCCCTCTTAAGTTTCCATACTTAAGCAAGAGTATGTGAAGGATAGCTATGGCTGCCAGCTTTCTTGGGAAAAAATACCGGCCTTACTAATTTGCATAATTAATTATGTATGTGTGTAAATTACAAGGAGTGACATAAGAGAATATTCTGTAAAATCACCAAAAAAACTACTTATATTTATTAATAAAAGATGGATTGTTCCCAGTGTCTCCCTGTCTCCCAGTTTCTAAGTGTTCTCTAGTCTCCCAGTATCTCCTAGTCTTCCAGTTTCCTCATGTCTCCCAGTATCCCCTTGTGTCTGTGTCCCCTATGTATCCCAGTGTCCCTTCATTTCCCCATTTCTTAGTGTTCCCATTTCTTAGTGTCTCCTATGTGTCACAGTGTCCCTGTGTATCACTGTGTCTCAGTGCCCCATGTCTCCCAGTGTCCTCTTGTGTCCCCATGTTTCCTAGTGCCACTTGGACACTAGGAGACACTTAAGGGACATGGGAACACTCTGAGACATCGGGACACTGGCAGAGAGATATGGGGACACTGAGAGACTTGGGGACATTGGGAGACATGGGGACACAGACAATAGGGACACAGTGTCTCCATGTCTCCCAGTGCCCCAAGTGCCTCAGCATCCCCTAGTGTCTGACAGTGTCCCCTAGTGTCTCTGTATCCTGATGTGTCCCCTGATCTTCCAGTGCCCAAAAGTGTTTCAGTGTCCCCAGGTCACCCAGTGTCCCATAGTGTCTCCCAGTATCCCTATGTCTCCCTGCAGCCTTTCCCCCCATTCCTCACTTACCTGAGCTTTAGGATGTCTCTGCAGGCTGGGAGCTGCTGTCTGGACTCTCTGTGCTGTGTAGCTGCACCCCCGTGGATCAGTGACTAGAGAGAGGCAGGGAGGGAGATGCTGTAACTTCCTATCCCTGTGTCTCTCCAAACACAGTGACCCCCACTGGCCAGCAGAGTAATCTCTGTTTATTCTAAGAAATATACCGGCATTTGTATTAAAATACCATAAAATACCAGCCAGGTGGCAACCCTAAGGGTAATGTGTAAAAAAAACCCCAAAAAAACCCACATTTTTTCTTTCAAATCAATGGGCCTATTCCATGGGCGTGGGCCTGGAGCTGCAGCTCCATCAGCCCCTATGTTAATCCAGTCCTGTAGTGAGTACATATAAGAGCTTCTTCTTGTAGGTTATTTTAATAATTTTATGTATTCTATAATTATTATATTTACTGAAAAATTATATCAATGTTGATAAAATAAATACCCTCACAAACTTGCAAATATCTTACCGAGCTTTGTGTTTCCAGCATCATGGGAGATGTAGCAACAAACATTTGGTATGCAAAGATTACCACCTGTTCTCAAAAAAGCTTGCCTCTTTCAGCAACGTATATACCGATTTACAGACATCTTATAGTGATGGTTACTGTTATGTAATGTGTTTTCTTTTGTCAATGCTAATCTTCAAATAATAGGTTTTTGTTTTGTTTTTTTAGCTCTTACCTCCAGGCTGAACAATATTTCAGCTTCTCAAACATTAAAGTACAGTTGCAATTTTGCAGCCAAACTCTAACATAATTAAATTCTTCTTACAAGGCTATTTGTTTGCCGGAAAGCCCTCAAACTGTGTTAAGATCTACACTTTGCTCTATTAATTGCAATAGAAGCCAGACAGAGGGGAGGGAGGTTTTATGATAGCAGCCTATTTTCATAATGGAAGGGGACATTTATTATTGATATGCTCTAGTTGTAGCCAGTACTGAGATAGTAAGTAAAGTGCATATAATATGTGAAATGCAGATTACTTAGTCAAGCAAAGTGCTACTGAAGATAGGTCACTGGAGCAAAGAAAATTAATGGTAATATGACTTAATTTTATTAACGTTTAGAGACACTACTTAATTATGTCCCAATAAAATAATTATTTCAGATGTGTTTGTTACTATGAATAGTAGTTTTCAACTAGATCCATGTTTTTGAGCAAAATACACACATACATTATAAATTGTTAAAAAAAAATGATGTTATGGTACTGTGACATATCTTTGAGCATCTGTCAGTTAATAAGTAATTGGTACTTAGTTTGAGGGTTTTTTTTAGCATGACTTTATTTTTCTGTCTAAATAGCCTGTATGATGCATAATACATACATACTTTTACATACTTATTTAGAAACATATATATATACTTATATTGAAAGATATATTGCTTTCGTGCATAAAAGGTGTGGTTCAAAGTACAAAGCACATAGATTTCAGCAAATGTTCAATGTTTATTGGTGAATGTGCAATACAGATATGCACAAAAATATTATTAAAAATAGACTGGTAGTGCAGGTGCAATATTAAACAATAATTGAAGGAACCAATAGTTTAAAGGAACACTGACATTTTAGGATTAAAAACCTGTATTCCCAAATCAATAGAGACTCTGCCCCTAGTTTTATATACCCCCTGCCATATTTAAGATTTTAATAAAATAAAGTTTCTTCTCACCTTTTTCCAGTGCAAATGTTATCTTGGTGTTGCTCCCCTTCTCCTGTGATGTAATTTTGGAAGCATGACCTCCTCTGGTGTGGTCCAATCCAAAGCTCCTCATAGAGGAGCATAGGAATCTAATGCTCGTGCAATTCCAATCCTTTCCAATGAGCTTCCGTGTCATGTGAATGAGGTTTACGAGTGGCTGTCAGGAAGACAACTGCTAGAGGTCGATTTAAGCATGGCTGTTTTTAGAAAAACTTAATATTTTAAATGTGAGGGTTAAAATGACAGAACCACTGCATTATTGAGATGAAGTGGTCTTGGTGATTATAGTGGATCCATTTTTCTAATCAATATGGATCCAGTGGTAAAGTAATGACTTTACTGTACCACTCTTGGCATAGACTGAGACATTCTAGGATAATTAAGTAGTTTCCTTACAATGATTGGCATAGCTTGACAACAAATAACTGATAAGTAGATATCTGAAACTAAAATGTTAGATTAAATCCAACTAGATGCCCAGGAGTAATTTAGGAATAGTAAAATGTGTTATAAAACAAAACATACAGGAATAAATATTGCTATATATTACCTCTTTAACAACTTGTGTGAGGTCTGATAGCCATATATCAATATCTGAAGGACCCATACCACGCTGTCATCAACGAACTCAGTAGTATTCCATACCACTTGGCACAGATAGTGAGTGATTTTTAACCAACTAATTTATACTATATTTGTCAAATAAAGTGTTTTCTTTGATGAAGCAAACACTACGGATTTTTTAT